TCTGATTCTTCTGCAACTCGCCTCACGCATGGTAACAAGAAAAAAATAGCTGCGATGGCATTTGGTACGAGATACAGGATCACAGCTACCAAGTACACGGAAGGCCCCCCATTATGTCCCAGCCAATTTTTAATGGTTCTCGTCAGTCCTGTTGGATGTTCCCAGGAGTGGACGTAGCTGGTCGAAAGGATAACGATCCAAAAAGCAGAAACCAGAACTTTCAATACAAGCCTAATCGAACCAACATATCCGAGACTATGGAGTGCTTTGAAGGAGAATATTATATCAAGGAGAGCTGTTTCCGAAGTGTTAGTACCTGGTTATGAAACACATCAGAAGTTACCTTGAAAGAACCGGAGGACAGCAGCCGTGATGAAGACAGAAAGAACCTTCTTAAACACTGAACCTTCAAACAACGCCCCTAGAGAGCCAGATCCATTCCAAGCAATGATAATCATCGCCTGTGAAAGCAACAAACACTGTTTTAAAAAGGCCAATCAAGACGAGATTTCACCTGAAGCCAGAGGATAAAAAACGTCCACATGCGATCAAAGGTTCTGAATAAATGCCAAAATGATCTAGCTTCTACAAAATTTGTCTTTAAGCAACTTGGTTTTCGAGGTAAAAATCTTGCTAACTGTAAAAAACAAACAGTAGGCCTTTTAAGATAACGAAGTATGAAAATACCTTTGAAGACCTGCTATGTGCTTCTTCGGCCGCTCCAACAAAAAATTCATCATCTTTTCTCATAGGCCAGCCCAAACGGAAGCACGTTTTAGACCTGCACGTTGAGTTGTTAGAACTTCCAAGAGGGTGTCTATGTACAAACCAGAAGTATTCGTTCAAATCATCATAATTTCGCCAAGAAGAATGCGGCTTGCCGCCACTTTCGTTTCTGTTACTCTCTTTCTCCTGCAGATACGTCATGAGCAGTAGAAAAACCAAAGCTCACATACCTTGAAAATCACATTGTAAATAGGTGTCACGACTTTTTTAAGGAAAGCCTCGTCCTCGCTCCCATAGGCTGGTTTTATATTCTCGCCAGTGACGTAGCTAACTCTCCCAGAAAGCATTCCCGACAACTCAGACGCCATCTGCAAGCTTAAACTTGGTTAACATCCGTACGGATATACGAAGTTTACTCACATGATGAAAAATGTAACACAAACACTCGGGCATAAATCGAACGTTTGCAGCTTCCCCCCATATTAAAAGGTATAATGCCATGTACAAGATCATCCGCTGCTGCACCTCTAATTGTATCTCAGGAAGCCTGTAACGTTGTGTGAGATCAGAACCATGCACCTAGTAAAAAGTAGAGCAGTATACTCTAGTTTGTCTGAGCGCCCCAGAAACTTGCACCATGTTCTATAGTTTTTGAACATTCGTTTCATGACAATCTCTGTTGCACGCTGATCCAACTGTTTAAAACCAAAAAAACTTGTCAAATATTATTTCGCAGCCATACAAAACAAACCTTATACAGTGGTGACGGCTCTGGGTCTAAAGAAACATGGACATTTGCAAGGAGCAATATCAAATGCTCTCGTTGATTTGCGACATTATCCTTCTGAAATTCATCGTTGAAACTGAGAGAAATCGGAACAACAAATACACACCTGGAAACCGAACATCACTTGAAGCCACTCGAGAATGTCTGAGGGTGCTTCCTTTCTCTTTGGCAAACCACGAACGTTCGCTATTGCATCATGAGCAGCCCGGACCTGTAAACCATAAATTGGAAAACCCGACTAGCGAACAAGGTAAACGTACCTCTTCTAGTTTCATGATGGCTTGGGACGCGCCGGCGGCATCAAGCGGAAGGATGTTGTAGTGCTTGATGTCCTTTTTCTTCTTGGTCACATCAGTGTTCATAGCTTGCATCTGCACAAAATATTGTTGTAAGAAAAACTATTTTGCGAGAACATAAACAACGAAAAAGAAACAATACTTCAGAATCCACTTCCGCTCCGTCCTGCCGTGTCACAGACGTGAGTACGTCAAACAAAATACCAGCTGTCTGATAAGCTTTCGCAAGCGACGCCCTGTTAATCCAAATCACAGTGAAGCTTTGCATTCAAATTCATGGCTATGAGACCTGTCCTGATGGTCGGCCTCCAAAGCCTTGACGTATTTGTCGTAATAGTTTTGGTAGAACTGCTGCATCTCCCGCGCATCGCTTCTTGCACGCCTCGCAAGCCTGGAGGGCTCCTCATCCTGCCCAAAAGAAATAAGAACACGAAGAGAGCGAAACAAAATAAACTCCAGACCTTCTCCAGCCGCTGCAGAAGCGCCGTCTTGAACTGCCGGACTCCTCGACCACTCGAAGAAGGATCATCATAGTGAGCTCTCTCGAAAGCATAGAACCGGCCTATCAATCCACGAGAAGAACATAGATAAGAAATCGATCAGAATCGCTATACAAAAACTTACAAAGATAAGCCACTCGTTGGCTGTCTAGCTCGACCTCATTGGCAACACGGAGTATGGCGGCGATAGGACCCAAGGACGATGGCACGACCTCACTATCGAATTCGGTCGGGAACGTCCCAGTGGTGAACGTCCGCGGTAGCCTCGTCGTCATTGCTCACGGCGATAGACGATAGAGATCGATCAGAGGCGGCGTAATATCGAATCTCTACTCCAATAGATGATGAATCCCAAACCTGCGAGCATTGTGAGCCTGAAATCCTGGAAAGGCAGGAGATGCGAGCTCGCTACCTGATCGCCGAGGCGCCATTCCAGCGCCAAAAACCCCAGGGTTCTTGCTCCTCGCGTACGGCGCCCTAGACGATGAACAGCGATAGTCCCAGCGCGAATGCCGCCATTTATTCCATCGCTCCTGCCGCTCCCTGCAAAGATTGTGACGCCAGGGGTGTCAAGAACACTTGCGGCTCGATTCTTCCACTCCTAGCCACGCTTTCCAGCGGCGGCCATGGTACCTGTTAAGCAGCTATCTGGCAGCGCATTGCGCTTGCGCTTTTGGGCAGGGGCAGTGGCACTGTCGCGGCGAAAGCGATCGAATCGATAGCGCACCAGAGAGGTGTCGCGATCGCTGTCGCGGGAGACTCTCTCGATAGGGTCGCAGTAGGTCGTAGTAGCTCGCGGGCAGCATCGTCGACAGCGTCACGGTACATATCGAATAATAATGCCTATGCTCGCATTGATTGGCGAGCGCGCCTAAATGTGATTGAGGATGTTATTTTACATTACTTAAGTATAATCTATCCATGTCAGCATCCACGCTGGAAAAAACCAGTGGATGAGTGACACGTGTAAGAGACATTTAAAATGAGAACTGCCGCCTGTTTCAGTTGAGCCCTAAGGCTCGGCTATGGCGTGCGAGGAGCTCGCGCGCGCCATCATCACCGATTGCGCTGTGTGGCGAGATCCACAGTTCCAGAGGAGCAGCAAGGTGTGGCAACTCCGGTATGCGCTGCAGACATGGGCGACGGAGATGAAGCGTGAGTTTGGGGGATTTTCTACGGTTTTCTTATGTGTTCTTTGTCGATCAGGTGTCCAATGCTACGACATTGATGTGTCGCGGGCAATCCAGTCCTGCGCCCGGCTGGAGCAGAAGCTCAACCATTGCAACAGCATGGATGCTTATCAATGCAATCGTAAGGTCAAACTGGTAACAAATTTCTTGCCTGTTTGAGCGTTTCTTCCATGACTTGTGGAACACTTCTCTTCTATTTTTTTATTTTTCTCCTCTTTGTTTCTAACAGAGGAACAAGTCTCTAGCCTTTACACTGCTGCCGAGGCGATACTAGCTGCTGAAGAGATGCGCAATGCTACGGTAGTTTCTTGAGCTTCTTTTTTCTAAGGCTTTTAAGTCCTTGAAGCATTCCTTGATCGCAGGCAGAGAGGATCAACGTAGCTCTTGATGCTTCCATTCAGCAGTTTGGCTCTCGCGGAGTTGTTCCCAGAGTAAGTTGTAAGTGCTTAGATCAAAGAGTCGAGCTTACAAGAGTAAGCTCTAACTTATGCATTTCGTTTCCAGATGTTTCCATCAGAAACGATGCCACATCTCTTGACTGCGAGGAAAGGTGAGATACCGCTCAAACCGCACGCAGAAGGGTGGCACCCTCGCTGGCCGGGAGACATTGGTGATCCATTTGAGCCTTACATGGTGAGGATTAAGTACATCCTATTTGGAGAGCTGACTTGCGAGGAGTCTGCAGCAACTTCTCGAGCAATTCCTTCACAGCGCATTGACATTTCACGCAAGGTAAGGAAAAACTTTCGATCTCGGATGATAATTCTCAGAAGTAAGCTTAGTTTAGTGCGTAAACAGGGCGATGGAGCAGCTAACAGCAGCGTTTGGAGCTGTAAGAGCAGCCAGCAAGAATGCAAGAGATGCTGCTTACACCAGGACACAAGCGGCGGCGGTGGGAATTTCGGTGAAGGAGTACCAAAGGCTATTGGACATGTTCACGAAGATCGACTCTGAAAACACAGGGTAAGCTTCTTTATTTTTGGACAGCGCCTCAGTAACTTGCAGGAAAATCACCAAGGGCGAGCTCATGGTGGCGATGAAACGCGACAAAGATGTCTGTATGCTCTCAAAAAATCTCCTCTCCAACGGTGCTAAGAACTTGAATCTCTCCTGTGCTGCAGATCGCTGCCTTCATGCAGCTGTCCAGAGCACGAAACAAGGATGGCCGACGAGAGTCCTTCGAGAGTGTCTTCAGCCGGATTGACAACACAGGTGAGTGAAGAACAAGAAAAGAACCATTTTCTTAAATCTAAACAAGTGTTTTGGTGCCTGTCTGATAGGAATCGGTGCTATAAGCTGGGAACAATTCCTTTACTTCTCCACAGGAAGATCTTTGATAGGAGAAAATATGTGTCCGTCTCTTTGCCCAACGATGGCTCCATCGAGTCCTGGAAGACAACCATACTGCTGCTCGTGAAGCAAGACAATCCAGTTCTATTGATTGCTTTCAAGGACAAGAAATCTTATCTTTGAGATCTCGTACAAGCTCTACGTAAGATCGTAAAGAGTAAGTCTTAAGACTCGGGAAGAACGCTCTCTTATTCAAGCGAGCACCTAGACAAGAAATCTAAGCTCTTTAAGCTCCACGAGAGAGATGGTACCAAGAGAAAGAAACCACTTAGCTTGATTCAAATGGAAGGGAACTGGCTGCTTTGTGGGTATGGAGAGTAGCTTCCAAACTGGTGAGCTCCATACGACTGGCCCATGGTGACACCGCCCGGTTGATGGCTTTGCCAGTCCTGCTTCCTCGTCTCGGAGGCGGCGAAGTAGTAGAGAACTCCCAGAGCTCCAGTCGCGAGCGAGAGCACCGCGGCACCAGCAAATACCCCACGCTTGACGACGAAGCACTGGCCAGTGAACCAGTGATCGTCCTGGTGGCGCTGATTCAAGCTTGCTCCCACGACGAGCAGGATGAAAGCGAAGAAGAAAGTGATCCTGGAAGATCGAGCAAACGTTATAAGCTAGAGACCCAAGATCGAGCAAAGTTATAAGCTAGGGAACCAAGGAGAAAACCAAGCTTGACTTACCAGGAGGCGATCAAGCTCAAAGTTGCGAGCCGGATCATGGAAACGAACGAGGAGCTCGATCTCCTCTCGCAGCAAATGCAGCCGCCAAAGACGTTAACGAGGACTTGGGCGGCGAGGAGGAAGAGGGCCGCGCTGATTCCAAGACCCAACGCCGAGCTCTTGGGATATGTACACGCCCCATTGACGCGACGCACCTCGTCGGGCTTCGCGTAACAAATAAGTCTTCGTTAGTACAGAGTATCAAGAAAAGGAAGAAAGAACAAGAAAAGAGATTCCCAAGCTTGAGAAGGAATGCATCGCCCAGCACTGGAATCCAATCAAGAAAAACCCAGCTGCTAGGAAATCCAGCCAAGAATCGAGAGGAAGAGCGAGAATAGGGCAAGAACGGGGAGAAATCGAATCACACATACCCTGACGCGCTCGCCCTCGGCCGAGAAGCCAAGAATCGCCGAGAAGACACTGAGCGCCACAACCAGAGAGCACACGATCTTGCCCTTGCTGTCCAGCCGCGAGACCCAGTTCTTCACCGCCATCGCGCGCTCCTCCACTGGTGAGAGCCCACACGGAAGAAAATCAAACGTATGTCCGGGCCTAGAACATCCTGGCCGTTGGCAAGAGCGGCATCTTAAGTGGGACCGTCAACTGCGAATATTCGATGATACCCCTTTTTTTTCCACTTTTTAAACGGCGTGGCATTCATTAAAGCGACGAGTTTGAATTCCGGGCGGGAAACGGGCGGCAAACGTCCGACTGGAGGTGTGTTTTTTTTAAAGTAATTAAGCTCCTCGGATTAAGTTGATGACATAGCTGCCATGGTGCTATGCGCGCGAGCACTTCGCTTTGTGCATCGAGAACGTTTAATTTCGAGAATTTCATCGAGGAACTTTTTTACGAGAAGGAGCCGAGTTGAAGGAAAAGAAGAAGTTTTGGCTGGAAAATTGGACGACAGAAGTTTGGACAAGCTTTTGAGGCCAAGAATTCTCCATCTTCATGAGCGGAAAGGGCTGCACAAGCTGCGAGAGCGGCGACGAATGTCCGCGAGATTTTCTGGAATGCTGCCACAAGCGAGGATGATCTGCGAATTCCACGAGACAATGTCAAACACTCATTTTGTCAAACACTGCCAACATGAATCCACAGTTTGAATAGACTTACCAAAGCATGTTTGACGGTGTCACTCGTGGATTTCCAGGGATATTTCTCCACAGATTTGAGTTTCATTCCATGCTCTTTCCTGCCAAACTGGAACAAGCCATTAGAGCAGCGACCAAAGCCCGAGCAATTTAACAAACACCATGACCGTTTTGCTCCAGTCTTCGAAAAACTTACAACAAGTTCACCTCCATCTTCCGCGTACCCCTGTGCATAGCAGTCATGCCAATGAAACATCAGGATGCCTCAAACCGCTAAAAACTTCACTTTGCAATGAGAGCATTGGCCATGAAATGTTGCCGAGCTTACGGATGAATCATGGTTCCTTTCTGCGCCTTCACCATTTTGTCATCGAGTTCACAGCTTTGTTCTCTTGCTAATCCTGCCACCAATTTTTTTTTGCTGTTGTGGTTCGTTTGTCATAACATCTATCATCGCCAAGGATGGGCATATGCAGACGCTACCGCGTTTCACAAGAGACTATCTTTTATAGAGATCTTTCCAAGACAAATCGATACAAAGGTTTTGCCACGCCTGCGTAAATTTGCATTAGCAAGTTTTATCAGACGCATTGCTGTGCCACGGCATCTTCGGAAACAATTCCTGGATTCGGTTTAGATTCCCGCTCTGGGCAAATTTGGCACTGGTGTGGAGAGTCTCCAAGAGATGATCAGCCAACTCCTTTGCCAGTCTCCGATGATCAGCCCCTGTTGAGTGAGCAGCACGAGTTCCTGGCGGGGACAGTCGCCAACTTTTGCTCACACGCTCAAAGTTTTTAAAAATTGTTTCCGTGTCTGGGGTTCGTGGATGAGTAGATGTCTGTTGCTCGCCCGATTGCGTTTTTGAGAGTTCTAAACACTACAACTACAAGCTTCGGCTTCATGGCTTTGACCCTGACATTTGTGAGTGAACATAGCTGCCATGGTGCTTTGCCCCTAGAACTTCTTAAAACATGAAAAATTGAAGAGTTTTCTCAGACTCGGGAGCATCGTTGTGACTGGAAGAACTTTAACCTTGAAAGCTATAGAGCACATTTGATGAAACTCGTAACTGTTGAGTGGATTCCAGGATTTGAACGTTTCTTTTGCTGCCAAACTGAAATAAGCAATCAGAGAAGGCCACTTTGAAAGACTTACAAAGCAAGTTCACCGCCACCTCAGTACCCCTGTAGCAGCAACGCCCATAAAACAACCAAAGACTTATCAGTCAGAGCATTGGCCACGAAAAGTTCCAAATCAAACCCACAGTTTCGAGCTTGAAGATGGATCCTGGTTCCTTTCACATCGAGTTCACTGCTTTTTTTCTCTTGCTGATAGTCCAGCACAGGCCACAGCAGCTACGTCCTAGCATCCGCAAGTCGGGCTCGAGTGCCAGCTCGTCCTTCCCGTTCCCTACATACCCAAGCATTAGAGCGTTCAATGACACAACACCGTGACGCTGCATGCTTGCGAATACTTTCCTCGAATCGCTGCCACACTTCGTATAAGCATCTAGCAGAGTGTTGTGCTTTCCAGTTAGTTTTCTCCAAAATATGATGTCGACTTTTCTGCTGCCAAGGTCAGGCTTTCACAAGCCATGAGAACAGTCACGACAGTCCGAGTATCACGAAACAGTGCCAGCGAAAAGAGCTCCAAAGCGGTGGCAAACTCGTCGTTCTCTACATAACGTCATGAAAAACCAGAGTCAAACGTCCATCGGAATCATCAGAGCGTTCCCAACAAAGATCGCAGCGTCCAGTTTCACCTGTCGAGCCCGAGAGTGAACGGCCATGGAACTCTTTGTGGCTGCAGCCAAGAGCGTGAAGCTAAAGGTCCTGGAAGAAACCATGAGCCCAGCAGGCAAATCCAAGAAAAAGAGCCGATTTTATATTCAGGTCGAATTCTCAAGTATCATAACTAAACGCTCTTCAATTTCTCCAGGAATCCTAGAAATAACTTCAAAGTTCCAAGAAGTACCTGGCAAGGAGTGACAAACCTCAGGACAGTAAGCTTTCATGGCAGGCTGTGGCCTCCAACTTCTCTGCTACAAATCCTGCTTTTGCAAGCTTGTCTTTGCATTTGATTACTTTAATCCGCACGCAAGGAGCTTCCGTCCCACAGACTCGCCAAATCCAGTAACTCCGCTCATCATTTCTCGTAGCTATGCCAAGGAAACCAGCTGAAACACATCAAGAACCATGTTACCAACGAACAGCAAACAAGAACAATACCAAGATTCACTTACCACGAGTAAAGACTGCACCTCCATCGAGTTCCGCACCGCTCCCGATGCCGAAGTGCGCACATTTCTCGCGGTAAAAATCTGGAATCTTCAAGCCGCTGGGAAGCTTGACCCAAAGCATTTGTCCCCAGCGGACTATCAGCTTTCCAGACTCGTCGCATCCCATCACCAAATGCTCTCCAGGCTCGTCCTCGTAACGATCCGTGCCCACGCTTCCCATGCTTGGCGAAATGTGGTCCTCGGTTACCACCATTCGAGCTCCGGCGGCATTGTCTCCACACATATCATAGTCCGAGAGAACGTAGCCAGTGGTCGTCTTGTTGTCTATGGCTTTCGGGAAGCGAAGATCAAGCCGCTGGAAGACTTCGAGGCCGTCTCTAGCCACCACGACGCACGCATGATCGGGCAAGTGTACTGCACGGTGGCCAAACTGGTCGATCCCGACGATTGCCGCATCCTCCCGCGCTTTGGAAATTATGTCCCAGCCAGTGTACCAGCCATTCACAACTCGCAGCACAGGTTCTTCCTGAGAAGAAAAAGAAGAAAGCTTGATGATCTAAGAGGAAAGAAAGCAGGAACAGGAGCTAAAGGTGATACCTTTGGAAAGACCACAGTAGGCTCTGGCTCTGGCTTTGGCTCTGGCGGCAGCCGGAGCAGCTGCTGGAGTTGCTTGTTGAGCCGCTGCTGCTGCTCGTTGAGTTGCTGCTGTTGCTCGAGAAGGTGTTGAACCTCAGTGCGTTGCTGCGGAAACAAACAAAACAGCATTAAACTCTCGCCCTGTCACAGCTCTCTTGCGTATCAGCAACGCAAATCGATGGAGAATTTACTCTTCCAGAAATCGATCCTGCTTACCTTGACAAGAAGCTGCTGGTACTCGCGGCACTTTCGCTCATCCGCATCCGCAGAGCGATGCTGCTGCAAAAAATCCAAATTTGGCAACTTACACCCCACAGATGGAGCTGCTCACCTCGAGGTGCTGGAAGACATCGCTTAGAATATTGCCCTCCATTCACGCAAACCCAAACCCTAGAGCGACCGCCGTGAAATATCACTCCTTAGTTCTGGGAGACGGAACCGAATCTCGACCAGCCGAGTTCCTGCCTGATGCTGCCGCGTGCATTTCTAGCTTGGCTACAGCTCTTTTACAGGATCATGTTGCTAGCGCAAGTAACTGGTGTGTCATAAACTCGCAAGTTCTTGCCAACGCGGAGAGAACACATCAAAGCATAGCGAATCTCTAGCCACACATCCATCTTGTCATCTCAAGAAATTTTCCCGGCGTCATAGTCTCCACTGCACAAGCTAGATGGTTAGATCGTCCTAGCAGATCAATCAGGCACATACCTTGTCTTGTCTGCTAAACCAGCGTGACTGCGGCTTCTGTGGGAGAAAGATTTCGACGTAAAAAAGCTGACATACGCGGAGCTGGTCGTCTCTCGACTGCTCGAATGGTTCAACAGCTCGACTTCCAAACAGACAATCCCGCCTTCTCGAATCTCGACGTTCTACCCTGGCTCGAGCTCACCATAGCATCTAGCTACATCCTCGCTCGTCGCGAAAACATCTCGCAAATGGAGCACCGTTCGCTGATGGAATGAACGCTGCTGCGCGCTTAGATGGATATATTGTAAGGAAACAAAACAGAGCCTAGCCTAGCCTAGTATTTCCATGAGAAGAGAAGATGAGACAAAAACACAACACTCCTCTTCATGGTTAACCCCGATGTTCATGCCAATCAAAGCTCCACTGTCGGCTTCGAAGAGTCCACCACCACTTTCACCCTTGACAGATCCACCATTAAGAAGCCATTTGTTCGAATGGAGGACGCTTCCTCCGAATCTTCACTCACAACGCCGTGTCTCACTGCAACAAGTCCATGCCGGCAGCCAAGGAGGAAATACTCCATGCCTTGCTGCGGTATTTCCAACACTGGATACTTATGGAACTCACCATACATCCGTCTCAAGAGGATGAGATCCGAGTTCCGAAACAATGCTTCCACTTCGAGAATGACTGGCACCTCCTGCACGGTTTGCTTGAATGGGTGTCTGAAGGTAAAGACATGTCCAACTTGCCAAACGCTGTGCCCTTCGTGGGCAAACGTAATGGCATGCTTTGAATCAACGACAGTGGCCAGATCATCCATTACACCTACAAGCAAATATTTCTTACATCGCTTGACAAACCTGTTGCAACAGTGAACTTGTATTCATTAAAAACACATGTAAGAAAATCACCTGTTCTCCGCCATTTGACGACGAGAAGAAACCAGCTAGGTAGAACAAGCTAACTTCTGAAACTTTTCTCTCTTACGTCTCGGTTTCTTATGCGAGACAGCGGTTTTATGAACGGGGAGATTTCTCTATCTTTACAAATAACAAAAGAATCATGCAAGAAATCTCAAGAAGCAGAAGGAAAACAGAAATCCTCGTTATTCTCTTTGACCGTAGCCGATTGTTTCACAGCTCAGATAAGGTACACTAGCCTAGGAACATATAAAACTCGAAGCAAACATATAGCTCTGAAAACCTGGAAAGAGAAAGAAGTCACAATCCCTGTATGTAAAGATACCCTTGACGAGAATCATTGTGCTATCAACATATTTGAATCGTAAGTGCCCTGACGGCGACAGCACCGGCCTACTATCATACGTTTTGCAGAACCCCAATCACGTCAGATTATCCGAGTTCATATAGATTGGAACGAACTTCAATGGCGAAGGCACCAGTTCTCATTGTATTGTAAGTTCGTTGCTTAAAAATTAATCCAGAGATTTGATGTAATTAAGATCCTCCGATTAAGCTACTGCCCGGTTCTGTGCATCGAGAACTCCTTAAAAACAGGAAAAAATGGAGAACAAGAATACAGACCTGGAGCATCTTTATGACATTGCCGGGAGCCTGTGAGTCGAAAGAAAAGAATAATTTTAATAAGGGAAAAAACTCTACCTTGAGAGATTTAATTATCCCAGTGATTTGGATTCCACCGCGCTTGTGTTCCATGGCACTGGCATTTGGATTTTGTTCACAGTCTCACGCAAGAAGGACGTGAAAACTCGGAAAATGCAGCGAGATTCATACTCGTCACAAATGCTTCTTTCCAGAGGTAGCGTTCGTCCCAAGATGTGGGATGTTCTTCTCCGAACAAATTATAGAGTTGAGAGAACAAAAAAAAACATGAGAAAACTTTGAATTATTTCTCGATCACAGCTTTTTGGACGACGCATATCTATTTTTCACCAACACTGGAAACTATAGCACAATTCTTAGAAGAGAACAGGGAAAAAGAACTCGGTGACTTACGTGCTCAAGACAACAAAGACGTTCGTCACGAGTCCCTCGAGCAAATGCCGGCCATCGTCAGCTCCGCAGTGTTCTTGGGCATGCATTGCTCCAACACTTGCATTGTCCGGCGAGAGAAAATATGAGCTGTAGCTAGAGGAGTTTCATCAATGACCCATGACATAAACTTGTGCGAAACCGGAACGAGGCGTGATATGAACTGATACATCCAGTTGCAAGAAAAAAGAATTCTCTAAGTTCTTTTTCTTTGTAGGAATTCACTCGCGTCCCTCTTCCTTGTGACAGGCAAGAACAATCACAACGAGCTCCTCTTCATTGGATCGTCTCGCCAGCGCTTCCTCCAATCCAGCATACGGCGATGGATTCACTAGTTTCGTAAGAGCTAAGGTTAGTGTTCTTCCGCATGAGATGCAACGATTGCGCGAGCCGCGTGAGATGCCTCTCCCACAACAGCAAGCACGAACCTCCATCCACTGTCCTGGTCGTCGTGTATGCGCCTGCAAACGAGAAAGAGAAAATTTCCTGATAAGATTGATCAATGGATCGATCGATCGAGCTATTAAATGGTGCTTTGCCCGCGCGAGCACTCATCTTTAGAAAATGGAAGAACTCTCGAGAACAAGAACCAGACTTGGAGCATATCCAGGAGCCTGTGAGTTGAAAGAACAGAAGAACGGAAGTTCAGGCTGGTAAAACTCTACCTTGATGCTAACGAGCGAGTCACTCGCAGCTGTTGAGTGGATTTCCAAGGATTTCTCCAGGTTTTACCAACGTTTCTTCCATCTGCCAAGCTGGAACAAGCAATTAGAGCAGCCAGCAAAGCCCGAGAATGTAACACACATCCTGACGTCTTTGCAAGACTTGTGTTGTTTGATTGATTTCAAGAATTTGATAAGAACTGAGAAAGATTTTGCAGAAAGCTCTTTGGGATGTTTGCAATCTCTTTTAACTCATCTCCCTGGAGTCGTTTGTCATAACATCTACCATCGCCAAAGATCTAAACAAGATAACAGGGATGGGCATATGCAAGCGCTACCGCATTTCACGAAACACTATTTCTTTGAGATCTTTCCAAGAAAAATCAGTATAATTGTTTTTCCAAGCATTGCGTACATTTGCCTTAGCAAGTTTTATGCCGCAATGCTGCGACATGGCATTTCCAGAAACAATTCCTGGTATCGGTTTAGATGCCCCGGCGCTGGCGTGGAGAGTCTCCAAGAGATGATCTGCCAACTCCCCTGCCAGTCTCCGCAAGCTTTTGGCAGAAGCAGTCGCCATTCCGATTGCCTACACGCTCAAAGGTTTTGAAAGTGATTGAGCGACGGTGGTCTTATCGTTGAATAAGCCTTGCGAAGGAACAAAAAGAGAAACTCGGCTCTGGGTTCAAATATTTTACAACCGTCAACAAATGCGCGGTTGATATTTGTGACAATTTGAACCATTGACACGTTGCTTTGCCCGCGCGAGTACGCATCAAGAACTTAAAACATAAACAAATGGAAGAACACAGACTTGTGCAACTGTTAAGTGGATTTCCAAGGATTTCTCCACGTTTCTTCCCTGCTCTTTGCTGCCAACTGGAACATGCAATCAGAGTAGCGATAAAGCCCGAGAATAATACACATGAAAGACTTATAAAGAATGTTCATCTATGCGTACCCTTGTAACAGGAATGCCCATGCAACGACTAAAAACTTGTCAGCCAGAGCATTGGCCACGAGGATGCATCTGGTTTCATGTTCCTCAAACGTCCATCAGGCTTCCACTATGAAATTATCAGAACAACGATCGCAGCCCGTGTCTGTGAACGGCCATGGATAACTCTTTGTGCCTGCAGCCAAGAGCGTGAAGCTAAAGGTCCTGGAAGAAAAGAGAACCGATTTATCTCTCTTCAGTTTCTCCAGGACTAACTTCAAAGTTCCAAGAAGTCCCTGCCAAAGAGTGACAAACCTCAGGAACAACAGCTCCAAACAAATCCTGCTTTTGAAAGCTCGTCTTTGTATTTGATTACCTTCGCAAGCTTCCGTTCCACAGACTCGCCAAATCCAGTAACCATTTCTCGTAGCTATGCCAATCTCTCAGTTTCTTTCAGGCTTGAGGCTATATTATTTCTGAGACTGGATCAAGAGCGGCAGCACTATGCTGGTTCTGGATCAAGTTTGCTATGCAAGGTTTTGACCCCAATTCTTCATTGGCTCTTTAACATCTCCCACTGGCATTTTACTTTCTGTTTCTATGCTGTCTGTAGTGAACATGGCTCATCCTAGATCCTCACTAGCCTCTGCACTGTGCAACTGGCCCAAAATTGTAGAGCCTTGTTCTACAATTTCAGGACGATGCACCTGCAGGTGAAGAGGCTTAAGGCTTTATAATTCTGGACTATGGTACTAATTGATGAAAAGATTTGTTTTTTATTTTGCATATGGCTTCGGTCTAAACTCAAGTGCTATGTTACCTTCTTACTGGTATGAAATTATATTAAACACCATTTGGCATTATTTTGCAGTTATGTATAGGAAGTTGGTGTTTAAAAGGGATTTTAAGTGTATATTAAAACCTTTATTTTATAGAGTGATAGGTTTGGAATTTGGCTTAACATTCATGTATAGTATATTTAATATTAAAAGATCAATCTGTATTGAACTTTTGTTCAAATTTTGAACTCTAGTTGGATACACATAAACTTTCTTAATAGATCCAAAGCAACTTATGTATGATAAGTTAGACTGTACCATTTACTGGTGAGATGGTGAAATGGAATCATTTAAACAAGCAAA